TAAACCTGTGCATGTATGAACAGGAATCCTAGCAGCAATACTTTACCATCATATATAAACAGCAAGTGTATGGGGGTGGAGGGGGATTGATGACAATTTTTGAATTACGAAGGTTAAAAAAATTTGTTAGGAGTACCTGATTTATTTATAAATCAGAGCACATGAATCCCTTGTCTGATTATTAATCCCTGAAAAGAAGTGTCAACAGCTTTCTTCGCCACATTTGCTTATGCACTCATTTGTCTTCACCGGTTGTATCATGGAGGTGAGCACACAATGATATGATTTTTTGTTCTGATGATGCCTGATAACTGATCCCTTTGGCACCTTGTGATCACACAAGCTGGTGTGTTCTTCCATGTGGACTTTGTTGCTTCTGAGCTAGATGGCCGCTTGTTTACCTTCAAGCTTTTAAGACCCCAGACACTTTATCTTTTGATAGCCGGGCAACATCAGCTTTCATCACTACATTTACTTATTCACCCGTTTTTTCTTCAGCGGTTGTGTCAGGAAGGTGAGCATCATAGAATGCCAATTTAATAGAAGACAGTATTCTTGCATTGAGGGAGTACTTGAGTGGAGGTCCAATGTCCATCTGCTACCTTAATACTAAACCTATAAATATATGCACAAAGATCTATTTTCCCATCCTTATATATTTGCATACGTACAAGCCTTTATTTAGACCTCTATAAATGCCCTTTGCCTCCTAGCTCTTTCCTCTATTTCCTTTGACTTTCCTCTTGTCCCACTTCATTTGGGATTCAGTAATTCCTCTTGGTTACATTACCCTTGGATTGAAGGTAAATAAGCGGTCATCTAGCTCAGAAGCAACAAAGCCCACATGGAAGAAGCACACCAGCTTGTGAGATCATGAGGTGTCGAAGGGATCAGGTATCAGGCATCATCAGAACAAAAAATTTTATATCATAGCGAATGAGGGGAGGAGTGCAGAGTGGAGACCCAAAACCCATTTGTAGGCCACTGTGCATCCCCTTACAGAAGGGTCTCAGGGAGGAGACCAGTCAGTCAGGGTGCAATGTAGCAACAATGAACTTTCCTCTAGTTCTTAAATGCTTCCTCCTCCCCCACTATCATGATCCCAATTCTACCTTACAAATCTGGCTAGACCAGAGGATATATACACTGGTACAGATAGGAACTGGAAACACAGGGAATCCAGGGCGGATGATCCCTTCAGGACCTGTGGTGTGAGTGGCAATACTGGGAGGGTAGAGGGAGGGTGGGTTGGAAAGGGGGAAACCGATTACAAGGATCTACATGTGACCTCATCCCTTGGGGATGGACAACAGAAAAGTGGGTGAAGGGAGATGTCGGACAGGGCAAGATATGACAAATTAATAATTTATAAATTATCAAGGGTTCATGAGGGAGGGGGGAGCAGGGAGGGAGGGGAAAAATGAGGAGCTGGTGCAAGGGGCTTAGGTGGAGAGCAAATGTTTTCAGAATGATGAGGGCAAAGAATGTAAAATATGCTTTACACAATTGATGTATGTATGGATTGTGATAAGAGTTGTATGAGCCACTAATAAAAAAATTTTTTAAAAAGAGAGATCAAACCAAAAAAAGAAAGAAACCAGCCAATGAAAACTATCTGGGGCACAGTTTTTCTCTGACATCTGGGAGGATCACCCTAAGCCAGAACTGATGCCCCAACCACTGCGTGTGGTCAGATCACTTTGTAGTACTGTATTGCCTCGAGTTACAAATACACCAGGCAAAAACCACAGCAAGGCAGATACATTTTCCATAAGCAGTCATAACTAACTACTTTTAAAATTAACTGCTAATAAATAGGACTTATTAACTACTAACAAGTAGTTAATAATTATTAATTAATAATTATTTACTACTAATAAATACTCAAATGACTAATAGTACTAACTACTAATAAAATGCTTTTATGTAAAAAAGCTATTTTGTTTGGCTACTGTTAACATTAAAATGAAATGTGTTAAGTCTAAAAAGTTGTCTAACCTGTGTATATTTCACATCTGAGAAACAAAATAAATAAATAGTTAAAAAAGTAGTGTCAACGGTCTTCTCTGATGGAAGCTTCTATTAGAGGTTAAAGTTCTTAACTACTTCCCTGGGCCCATGTGACGAGCCCTTCATGGTCATCAGCACGCTTGGTCTTTCCATTCTACCTCACTCACTCATTCACAAGGTAGTAAAAGTGGCTTATATCATTTATTAGCTTGTCATAAGAAAGAGTTGACTTATGCTTCTGATTTTTCCTTCTTCTCTCTTGAATTTGCCTACATAGAAGGACGCATGCTTGGGCTCTGCTCATCTATGTACTTATAGAGGCAACTACCATGGCGAGGGCAGAGGGATTACCGATGTTGTCTATACCTAGTGGTAGATCAGTCTAATGTAAGGATGCAGACCTACCTATGCTCTACTCTTCAATCTACTTTGGTAATAAATCTGGCATTTCAATACTTAGTTAGCTATCTGACTTCTGTCTATTGACTCTATTAAATAGAGGAGAACTGCTCAATAGGGTTTCCAAAGCTGTTATCGTTATGGAACCAAAGTGTCACATCTTTTTCTCACAATGTAGCTGCTGGGTTCAAACCAGCAACCTTTAAGTTGGCCGTAGAATGCTCACCAGGAGGACTCCTTAAAACCCTTGACAACTATTCTTTATTAAGCAATTATTACATGTGAGGTATTGTCAAGAACTTTGCATTGCTACTTCCTTTAACCCTCATAAAGTCTTAGAGCTCAAAAGAAGGCAAAAGAAACACTAAAAGTTAAAAACTTTTATAAAGCTATTTCTTCTGAAGGTGGAGGAAGCCATTAAGATGCATACTAGGACAAGAGGTCCATTATGTTTTAATTAAAAATAGAAAAGGTTCATTTTTGCAGAGTTTAATGGTTACTAAAACCCTTACAGATACAAAATTAATCACTTCCTTTTTATTCTCACTGTATCTGTAGCTCCCAATACATTGATCACTCTCAATTTCTGGAAACACTTTTCTCTTTTGGTTTTCAACACATGAAGCATGCTGGTTTCCTCCCACCTCTTCACTTTCCTTTGCTAATGTGCCTAATTTCAGTGGTAGTCAGCAGGTCCAACCCTAATATCTCTTCTCTATATTAACATTCTTACTCCTTTCATAAACATCAAACATTTAAGATTTTAATTGGTTACATTAAAGATTCCATTATATTTCTGTGAAGATTCTCAGTTTCTAGCTCTTATATACAGGTTTATCCATTTGACTATCTGATATTTGCATGCTAACAGTCAACTCAAATGCAGCCAAAATATAAGATTTCCTTACACCTATTTGCAAACTGGAGCCCTGGTGGCATAGTAGTTACACATTTGGCTGCTAGTTGTAACATCAGCAGTTTGAAAACACCAGCAGCTCTTTGGGAGCGAAACAGGACTTGCTACTCCCATTAAAAGTAAGCAGCACACCAACATGTGTGATCATGAAGGGCCAAAGGGACCAGCCTTTAAACACCAAAGGCAGGGAGAAAAGTCATATCCTTGTCAATGAGGGTGGTGCGCGATGGAGACCCAATGTCCATCTCCAGACAACTGGACATACCTTGCAGAGGGGTAGTGGGGAGATGAGTCACTTAGGGTACAGTATAGCAACAATGAAGCTCACAATCTTCCTCTAGTTCTTAAACGCTTCCTCCCCCCAACTACCAGGACCCCAGTTTCGCCTTGCAGACCTGGTTAGACCAGATGATGCACAGCGGTACAGAGGGGAATTGGAAGCGCAGGGAATGTAGGACGGAAGAAACTCTCAGGACCGGGGGTGAAGGGGGCGATATCAGGAGGGAAAGGGGAGGTAGTAAGGGGGAATGGATCACAGGGAGCCACATATGGCCTCCTCTCTGGGGGACGGGCAGCAGCGGGGTGGGTGAAGGGAGGCGCCGGACAGTGTAATGTAAGATACAAAAATAATTTATAAATTATTAAGGGTGCATGGGGGAAAGGGAAGGGGAGGGGGGGAAAAATTAAAAAAAAAGGAAAATGAGCGGATTCCGGGAACCCAAGAGGCAAGAAAATTTTGGGAATGATGAGGGCAACAAATGTATAGATGTGCTTTACACAATTGATCTATGTATTGTGACGAATTGTATGAGCCCCAATAAACTGATTAAAAAAAAAAAAAAAAAAGTTAGTCTCGCAAATTCAGTCTCAGAAACAGGGGCGGTTCTACCCTGTCCTATAGGGTCACCAATGACTTGGCAGCAGTGAGTTAGAGTGCGACTCCCAAACTATTTTAATTATAGTCTTTTAAATAGCAGTAAGTGTACCATCATTCAGTCAGAAACTCAATGCAAAACTTTTTAATTCATCTTATTCCTCACCTCTACCCTCCCACACCCAGTCTACTTACAGCTGGTAGATTGAATTTGTCCACTATTACTCTAACTTCAAACAACTCCATCCACACCCACACTCTCTTCTTCACTATTAAAAACGAACACCAGAACACCCTCCTGACCTCTCTGCTCCCCATTTTGTCCATGCTCCACAACCCAGCTAATGAGACACATCCCTTGGTCTTCGAACAACCCTTCCATTAAAATGAAATGTGTTAAGTCTAAAAAGTTGTTAAACCTTTCCATCGAAAGATCTTGCATGGTCCACTTTTCTTAATAGAAAACTCTACCAACCAGTCTTGACATGCCTGGCTCTTTATCATCCCAGGCATTATTAAAATGCTACCTCAATAGAAAGACTTTGGTTACCACCATACCACAACCAGAGATTTTCACATGACGAATAGAATTGTTCTGGCCTGAACTTTTTATGTTTCCATGAAGGCACTAACAGTGTCTGGCATAAGGTATGGGCATTATCTACTTGCTAAATGTTGAGAAAATCCATTAACTATAATACTGTATTTTAATTCTTCATAATTATATAAAGCACAAATTATAAGCATATGAGTTAAAAACTATGTATCACAGTGACATAAAAAGAATCAAGCATTACTTACGGAGTCCCACTGAATCTGGTTTACCATTGTCATTCTTACTTGGCTGCACAAGTGGAGCAAATGAAACAGCAAGAATATTTTCACTTTCCCAGGTATTTGGTCCAGTTCGCATAATTTGCGTTAACTGTTTAGAGAGAAAAAAATAACTGAACAGTTTAGTCCTGAAAATGTGATGACTTTTAGTCCAATTTTCATTTAAAACAGATGCCAGAGAAGTATACAAAAATTTGAAGGCAATAACATTGTTTCTATGTAGATATCTACTATAAAATACAGGAAATAATTAAGTATATTTTCAATTCAAGATAGTAATTCCAATGCAATGAAAATGCCTAAATACGGTCATTTGGATAATGTTAGATTTGAAGTAAGATAGTTTCCAGTTACCACTCCAATCCACACCTATGGCTCTCAAAAGACATTATCTAACAATGGGGGATTGGTGATACAAGGAAACTTTTATTAACACTCATTCACAAATGCAGAACCATGTTTACCAGATTAATACATGTAATAAAAAAGCTAGAAGGTTTTTAAAAATAGAAAATATATGGTAGTCCCAGGTCACCATTAATTGTTGTTGTTGTTGTTAGGTACCATCCAGTCAGTTCTAACCCATTGCAACACTATGCACAACAGAACGAAACACTGCTAGGTTCTGGATTCTATGCTTATGGCTGTAATTTTAATTTGAAGGGCATTCTCTACTGTACTAACAGACTTGGGTCTTAGGGTAGGATTAAGATCTTATTTCAGTAGAGGGTAGGAATCCTGGTGGCACAGTGGGTATGTATTGAGCTGAGATCCACAAGGTCAGAAGTTCAAAATCACCAGCTGCTTTTGGGAGAAAGATGGAGCTTTCTACTCCCATATAAAGCTATAGTCTCCTGAACTCAGTCCAAGGTAGTTCTACAGGGTCATTATGAGTGGGAATTGACTCAGGGCAGTGGGATTTTTTGGTTTTAGTAAAGTGTGTGAACCAAGTCATGCCTTATTTTATTGGATTCCACTTTACTAGAAGGTGTGCCTTCAGACACCATCATTTGTTGGTTAAAAGCAAACTACACCTCCATCAAAGCCATTTCTCAGTATATGAGAGCCATCAGGGACACAGAGAGAAATTGAAGGCTAGTTTTGCAAAAGTACGTCCAAGATCTCTCTCTGTCTGAAGTGGTAGAGGCCAACGAAACCAGATGCACCAGAAACTGTGGTATGGAGCCTCAGCAGGGTAATGCCCAAACTATAGGGTATTTTCTTCCATATAGCCTGAGACTACTAAACTGTGAACGAGGGTCAAGTGAGCTAGCTTCCTATCCCCAGAGGAAGCAGCAAAGGGACCACACAGCTGAGAGCTGATGATTGAAAGGCGACTTGACTGCTGGCTGAGGGTGTTGTCGTGGACCAATGACTATATCCTACCATGTGGCTGAGGACCAAAGAGACTTGGTTCCTGGCTGTGGAGAGGTATTGCTACGGGACCAACACCTAGATCCTTGCTGTTTGCTGGTCTGACTTCTAGTATCCTATTAACTTCTCTAATAAACTCCTTTAATCATGAATATTGTCTGTGAGTTCTGTGTGGCCATTGAATGAATTATCAAACCTAGCATAGATGTAGAGTGGCCTGAGAGATATGGTTGGTGTCAGAACAGGAAAGATGGACGGACTGTGAAGACATGTCTGACTATGGCCTTGTGGCAATAGGAAGCTAGAGAGGAGGTCAGATATGTCCACCTCTATGCCAATTTTTGTACCACTGTGTCAACATTTGATACAACGTTTAATTTTTTAATGAAGCAAAGATATTAAAGACCAATATATTTGCTTCCTGTAACCCACGCAAAAGAAAATGAAAGTACCTGATCCTCTATAGGCATGACTAGGATGCCACCGATTTTCAGTAATATTTTCATGTAGTTTTCATGGTCTTTCTGAACTCCAGCTCCACAATAAATCCGATCATATTGATGGCTGTCAGATGCTATCTGGAGACAATTTCCAACAACAAATGCAGGTTCACAAAACTCAAATCTGTAAGGAAAAACAAATGTGTTTTAGTTAATTTAAACAATTATATCTAGGAAAATTAATGAGTCAGTTCTTTGAAATACGAAAATTACCAAAATAAGTTGTAACAATAAAATATCATTACAAAACTTGACGGTTAACACTGGTCAAATATACTATTTTACTATTTTAAAAATATTTTTAAAATATCAACTCTTTTTCTGCCACATTGAAGCCTTGCTTATATTTTAAAAAAAGAATATGGGTTGGCTAAAATACCTTTTCTTAGAAAACATACCGATCACAATGATCATATGGCCCCCATCCCAGGGAGACGAACAACAGAAAAGTGGGTGAAATGAGACAGCAGTAGGTGTAAGACATGGGGAAAAAAAAAAAAAGAACAACAAATTATCAAGGGGGCATGGCTGGAGGAGGGTGGGGGAGGGAGGGTGAAAATGAGGAGCTGATGACAGGTGCTCAAGTAGAAAATGCTTTGAAAAAGATGATGACAACAGATGTACAAATGTGTTTGACAAAATGGATATATGTATGGATTGTGATAAGAGCTGTAAGAGTCAATTAAATGATTTTTTAAAATATGGAAATGTTCACTACAACATCAACCTCGTGATCATGCTCAGATGAAATGTGCTAATATGAGCTTGCAAGGGTCAAACAAATGAAAAGCAGCAGCATGTTCCCATCCTTTCCAAAAAAGTGACGAACCAGTGTATGCAGTCAAGGCTTGTGCAATAGTCCTTTGAGCGCTACGCTGTTGGCAAAGATAGGGTGGCAGTTTTATCAAGAAAGGTCAACTGACCTGAACTACATTCAATCACTTACAATTACTAAGCTCAAGAACATTTTCCTAATAGATTTTGGATGTGGAATTTATGGGATTGAGACAGATCAGAATTGCGTCTTTGTTTTCATTGTTGCTTTGGCCTTTGTGATCTTTCCTAACCAACAAAAGAGATGTTTTCTAAGAAATGGTATTTTAGCCAAACCACTCTTTTTTGGTTACAGTGCTGGTTCATGATGTTATTTTTTACAGTGTCCTATTTAGACCTCTACTTTACTAAATTCTGTTTAGACGTCTGCTTTGTAAAATTCTGATAAAGCTGAAAGCAAATGCTAATATATAACATAATTAAAACTAATGCAATATGTTGTAAAATGTGATCTTTTAAAATTAATTCATCTAATATTCTTTCACCTTTAAGTTAATATGATCATATAACAAAATCAGGCTATCATTTGAAGATTAAATAATTCACATGAAATGTTTTGGCATGCAGTGAAAAATGACAACTATTTGAATGACAATCATTTTTACTTTGCAAAATATGCCCTATTTCTTAATAAGTAGTAGACACATTTAAGTTTCCATTAAAATTTCCTGAAACACAAATATATTATGAACACTTTAGTTTATCTGAATTATGCCTGTGCTCAATTCTCCCCATCTTGGCAGAGGTCAGGTATGGAAAGGTTGAACAAGTATATGCCCGAAACTCATGGCTCTAGGACTTGCACTAAGGTGGTCCAAGCTACTTCCATCAACGAGATTCTGACTCACAGTGAATGTGTAGGGTTCCCAAGACTATAAACCCTTATAGGAGCAGCAAAAAACCTCATTTAAAAAAAAGCATTTTATTGGGGGCTCTTACAGCTCTTATCACAATCCATTCAGACATCGTGTCAAGCTCTTTTATACATGTGTTGCCATCATCATTTTCAAAACATTTTCTTTCTACTTGAGCCCTTGATATCAGCTCATTTCCCCACCTCCTCCCTCATGAACCCTTAATAATTTATGTTTTTCATGTCTTACACCAAACACTGTCTCCTGTCACCCACTTTTCTGTTGTCCATCCCCCTGGGAGGGGGCTTTATGTAGATCACTGTGATCATTTCCCCCTTTCACCTCCCACCTTACCCTTACCCTCCTGGATCGCTACTCTCATTATTGGTCCTGAGGGGTTTATCTGTCCTGGATTCCGTGTGTTGTGAGCTCTTATCTGTACCAGTGTACATACTCTAGTCTAGTCATATTTTTCGGACAGAACTTAGGTCATGATAGGAGAGGGGGGAGGAGGGGAAGAACATTAAGGAATTAGAGGTACATTGCATGTTTCATCGATGCTATACTGCACCATGACTGGCTCTTCTCTTCCTTGTGACCCTTCTGTAAGGAGCTGTCCAATTGTCTACAGATGGGCTTTGGGTCTCCACTCCACGTGCTCCCCCTTATTCACACTGATATGACTTTTTGTTTGGGGTCTGTATTGCCTGACACCTGATCCCACTGACACCTCATGATCCCACAGGCTCGGGTGCTTCTTCCATGTGGGCTTTGTTGCTTCTCAGCTATCTGGCAGCTTGTTTCTGAAAGCCTCATTTTTCTTGTGCAGTGGCTGGTGGGTTTGAACTGCCAAGTTAGCAATTAGTAGACTAGTGTGTACCCAACCATGCCACCAAGGGCTTCTTGTCTATTATTTCTTTCACTAACCACCTCTTCACTGTTCAATGTTCAGGTCTCTTTCGTGTATGTGATCTCTAACTCACAGGGCTACCTTCAAACTTCTGTAAGTTTCTTGTGGGCTCATTAGCTACACCAAGCTGTCTTTACAGACCCATTATGCTGGGTTCTTAACTGCTCACACCATGCTGTAACCACAAGAAAGTACTGACTTCTAGTTCCTAAGAGGCAAGTATAACAAGTTGTTCTGAAACACTCTCTAGCTGTTCGCTCTGTTCCTCTAAAATACCCTTCTCCCTCTTCTTTCCTTGATAAAGGAGTCCTGATGTGGTTACATACTGGGGTACTAAACGGAAGGCCAGCAGTTCAAATCCACAAGCCATTCCAGGAGAAAGACAAGTCTTTCGACTCCCATAAAGAGTTGCAGTCTCAGAAACTCACAGGGTTTAGTTCACGACCTTCAATATGCAGTTCAAATATTAGCTTCCAATGAAGTCTTTCCCAAGTCCTATGTCCTCTCATTCACTCCACTGCACAACACTGACAAAACTGACCTAGGTTAGGGATCGGGATCTATCTTTTATTGCATATTCTGTCTAAACTTGCTGCAAAAAAAGTTTTTTATCTTAAGAATTACATAATACAGTTTGATCATTTTTATCAAATTCCCAGTTAAATAACCCTCAAAAGGGGAAAATTAAGACTATTTTTAATAAAATATCTTTAAAATCTTATAAAACTTCACTTTAAATAATTTAGTAGTTTTATAATGAGTCACTCTTATTTTCAGAGACTTTGAGATAAATGTGATAAGGAAATTTAAGTAATCAAAAAGTTCTAAATGATTAAACCTCTTTTATATCACTGTTGCTGTCGAGTTGATGTTGATTCACAGTGATCCCAAATAACAAAGAGTAGAGAGAACCCCACAGGTTTTTGTAAAGCTGTAATCATTTTTTTAAAAGATAGACTGTAATCTTTTGAGGAGCCAATCATCTGGTCTTTTCCCCAAGGAGTCATTCGATGATTCAAACCACCAACCTTCCAGTTAACAACTATGTGCTTAACTGTTGCTTCACCAAAGTTCTTTCTTTCTTCAGTGAGTCTGTTAAATCAACTAAAAAAAAATAACTTATAGCTTTAAAAGCTTCTAAACAAATTATAAATGCAAGATCGTTTATAGTATAACCTAGGAAAACATTAGAGAAACAAATTCAAACGTATACTTCTCATATCCAGCAGATTGAATTAGAAGTTAGTGCCTGACTCTAAAATCAAATGTGATTCTGGGCAAGTCATCACATGGTAGTAGTGAGCACTGTTCATCCACTCAGAAAGTACTTACTGAGCGCCAGCCGTGTGTTGGGAATACAATGCTCATGGTGCCTACAGAGAAAGCATAAAACAGCCCTACTAACTAAAGTATGATTTATATTTGTGATAAATGTCAAAAGAAGGGAGTATAATCTTTAAGGCTGAGAGGTAGCAAACCCTTCCGCAACGTTCTATAGGCAAAGGATATAATTTAAGCCATAAATGCTACACTAGACAATACAGTAGACATTAACTACATGTGGATAATGAATCCTTGAATTTTGGCTACGTCAAACGGAGGTATGTTATACTTTTAAAATTCACAAGGAACTTCAAAGACTTAGCAACAACAGTAATAAAAATATAAAACATTTTAATTTTTCCGATTTTATATAAAAACAAAGCTGTTTCCACAGCCACATAAATTTAAAATAGTAATGCACTGTTCTACTACAAGTAAATTGAAGCTTTAATAATGTTTTCTTTTTAAAAAGTTCACAATCTTTCCTTTGGAACATCCTCCTTAAGTTTCTTGCTATCTTTCAAAAAGATTTCCTCTAAATTCTAATTGTATCTCTACCTCCTATGACAATTATCAAAATACATTTACTAATAAGTCCAAATGCTTTGCCTGACTTACCAACTTTCAAGATCAATTCAAATTTGACAAATTAAATATGCTAATTACAAAATTTCAGGGCTGAGGAAAAAACAAAATTTCCTAAAAAAACAGTGCTATGGAGTCACCCTGACTCACAGCAACCCCATAGGGCGGGCAGAACTGCCCCTATGCGCTTCCAAGACTAGACCTCTGTATGGGAGTACAAAGCCTCATCTTTCTCCCTGAGAGGAGCTGACAGTTTTGTACTACTGACCTTGCAGTTAGCAGCTGAATGTGTAACCATTATGATACCAGGGCACAGAAATAGTTACATAAAAAGCACATGCCTATTACAATTTATACATTAATATGATGGTTAATGTATGACTAAGCTGACTTCAATAACAGCCTGATATCCAGTACCAAAACGTATGATTTTTTTTCAGCATGCCAAAAAACAAATACAAGACCTTTCCTTTAATGAATAAATCACCTGTCCTATCATTGTAAGGCATTTTTTCGTCTTTCTTGAAATTTTTAAAAAGCCACCTCAACTTGACTATTAGGAAATATAGGAAGAGACAATATCATGAATATGGCTCTTCTGAGAGGAACCAGAGTAAG